CTCTGAGAGATGAGGCATTTAGAGTATGATACTTTAAGGTCTCTGGTTTCCTCACCTTCAGAGCTACAGAATACAGTTGAGCAGTATCATATCACAGCGGTCACTTGGGTGTCTAATGTCAGTCAGATCTTTTGTCCTGCCTATGAAGGTTGGAACACTTAATAATTCAGGATTGTCAGAAACCCTGGATTTCAGGCTCTCCCCTAAAGATTTCCATGTACTGGCCTTTGGACCAGTTTCTTAATGATATTGTGTCTTACTTGATCTTCACTCTGGAAAATAATTAAATCAAATACAGACTACTTTCAGCCCTAAACTCTGATTCCATCTCTTCCTTATGTTTTTATTTTTTAATGTTTTTTAAAATTTATTTCTGAGATTTTCCTTTCTGCGACTGTAATTCTTTGTCCTGAACATCCCCTTCCGGTTCTGTTCCCTTTTATATGCATATATGATGCTGTGAACAGAAATAAATTATTTATACAATCAAAAAAAATTATTTCTGAGAGAGAGAGACAGGCAACATGAGCAGGAGAGGGTCAGAGTGAGAGAGAGAATCGGAAGCAGGCTCTAGGGTCTGAGCTAGCTGTCAGCACAGAGCCCAACATGGGGCTCAAACCCACCAACCGTGAGATCATGACCTGAGCCAAAGTCGGATGCTTAACCGACTGAGCCACCCAGGCGCCCCTATGTTTTCTAAGGTAGTTGAGGGCGGATCGTTCCTGGATACCTAATTCAAAGGTGATGCCAACATCTTTCAGGATATGGAATGATAATTCTGTTCTTACTTGTTCAGCCCTGTTTTTTACATTCTAATTTTAGTTTCTGCAAAGTGGGGCTTGAACTCATGAACCCAAGATCAAGAGTTGCACATTCCTCTGAATGAGTCAGCCAGGCACCCGTAGTTTCTTCTGCATTTTGGCAATAAGTGTTGTGGCTGAAGTTTTTCCCTCTCAGTGGAGAGCTATCAAGTGCCAACATGGTGGTGGCTGCTTGAGTATGATTAAAGCAGGGACTTGAAATGGTCTCAGGCTAATGAGGAGGTACAAGTCACATGGGTTTCTAATGAAATGGCATCCAGCCAAGACTGGCCTTTGTATTGTCAAAGAGGCTGCCTGGCTGGCAGTCTTCCCAACAGGCCTCACAGGTGGCATGGATTACCTTGGAGTAATGTCTGTTGCCAGCCTTCCAGGCCCAGAAACTATTAAGTGTAGTTAGCACACTAAGAGTGGAATCTGTCATTTCATTTATTCATTCAGTCAACATTTATTGAGCACCAGCTATGTGCCAGAACTTTTGCAGTTAAAAATGATGGACATTCAGCTTAAATTTGTTTGTCAAAAAAGGGCACTATTATTTTTTTGGCTCATCATACTGGGAAATCTGGGCATGGGAAGATTCAGGCGTTCAAAGATAACAAGGCTGTCTCTCCATCTCTTGGTCCTGCTAACCTCTACAGTAAAACCTTGGATTGTGAGGAACTTGTTCTGCAAGTGTTCCACAAGATAAGCAAACATTTCTAAAAAATGTTAACTTGATAAATGAACAATGCCTTGCAATACAATAGTATGTGACACCAAATGTCACATGATTGATCACAACTGAGCTAATGGCTCTTCAAATTCACTGTAATAAACAAGTGCTTTGGATTACAAGCATGTTTCCGGAACAAATTATGCTCTCAAATCAAGGTTTTATTGTATTTGGCTTCACTTTCTGATTCCCTCTGCAAGGAACTGCTCTAAACACCATGTAGCTCATGGCCCCAGAGTAAAATTAATCTTCTATGTTATTCTTTTTTTTTTTTTTTTTGAGAGAGAGCCAGCTTGAGTAGGGGAGGTGTATAAAGAGGGAGAGAGAGAATCCCAAACAGGCTCCAAGTTGTCAGCATATGAAGCCCGATCTGGGGTTCAAATTCAAACTTTGAGTTCATGATCTGAGCCAAAGTCAGACACTTAACTGGCCCACAGACGCTCCATGAATTCTCTCTTTTCAAGCAACTACTCAGCAAATCTCATGGAGGGACAGGATTGGCTCTACTGGTCTCACATGTTGATCTCTGAACCAATCTCTGTGGCCAAATTGCCCAGACCTGGTGGGGGGAGCAGGACTAGTCTCCTCAAATCATATGAAATGAGTTCCCCCACAGAAAGGACAAGTTCTTTTAGAAGAGGGAAGGGTTGCTAGGCAGCAAAACAAAAATAATGAAAGGTATTCACAGCCATTCACTGTGCTTAGCACAGGTCATATACCAGCCACCAGGATAGAGAATGTCCCTGTCGTTAAGGAGCTTATATTATAGCTGGGGAGGCACACACAAAAATTTAAAAAGCAGACAAAAGGGGCGCCTGGGTGGCTTAGTCGGTTAAGCGTCCGACTTTCGCTTAGGTCATGATCTCGCGGTTCGTGGGTTCGAGCCCCGCGTCGGGCTATGTGCTGACTGCCAGCTCAGAGCCTGGAGCCTGCTTCAGTCTGTGACTCCCTCTCTCTCTGACCCTCCCCTGCTCACGCTGTCTCTCTCTCTCTCTCTCTCTCCTAGAAATAAATAAAAATATTTAAAAAAATAAAAATAAAAAAATAAAAAGCAGACAAAATAATTATAAATTGTGTTGAAGCAAGGATCTGAGATAGAAATTAATGGCAGAAAATAAAATTACTATAAGCTGGAAAGACCTGAGTGTGTGATATTTAAGCCAAGCCCTAAAGGATGGAAAAGAGCCAGTATGTGAAGAGAGGGAGAAGTGGGCTCCAGGCAGTAGGGACAGGCGTAGAAACATGCTGACATGGGAAAGAGTTTGACATGTTAGAGAAGAAGAGGGAGGCTGGAATGCAGATAGCAAGGGTGGAGGAGCCCACAGTAGACTGGAGAGAGAAGCAAGGACAAAGAGTCTGGGGCATCTTATGGTGCAAAGCTTCAGATTTATTCTAAACACTGAAGTGCACTAAACACTTAGTATTTTTTTATCCCTTGGGTAAATACCTAGTAGTGCAATTGCTGGATTGTAGGGTAGTCCTATTTTTAACTTTTTGAGGAAACCCCCTAGGGTTTTCCAGGGTGGCTGCACCATTTTATGGTTCCACCGAGAGTGTAAAAAAGTTCCCGTTTCTCCAGATCCTTGCTTGAGATTTATTCTAAATAATTTGGAGTGTCGTGATTGTCATTACATCAGTTTGAGGGCTGATGGTGGCCTGGACTGGCATTGGTGAGATGGAATCACAAAGGAGATGGAAAGAAAAGGGTGAATTAAAAATGCATTTGAAGAATAAACTGGAATTGCTGTTGGTCTGAGAGTAGTGAGGGGGATGAGGGAAAGAGAGAATCCAGATCAATTCCTAAATTTCTCCCTGGAAAGACATAAGTCAATTTCATGAGATTGGTTTATAAAACTGGAATGCAAATATACAACTGTGATGTGGACCAGAATCCATTCTGTGTGACCCTAATCTCTCTCAGTGAGCAAAATCCCTGGGAAGCTGGGTCCTGTCAGAAAGCTGCCTGGTGAGCATGGATCTATTGATATAGAGTGGTATCAGGTCAGAGATCCATCTTGAAAGGGCCTGAAGAACCAGCTGTATGTAATATTTGCAGTCTTTGGCATTGGACCCTCTCCCCTCTGCAGTTTTTGAATAGGCATAACCACTAAGATAGGATATTTGGAGGCATTCCATTTAGTGGTAGACTAGTACTGTTTTGTGGTGCCTCTTCAAGGCAAATTTACATAACTCGTGCCTGATTGTTCATGTGTTGAGTTAAAATTCGCTGATAGCTTTATTTCTCCTTTCCCCAGGTTTTTGAGATATGCTTCTTGAATTTCCATACAGTACTGCACATGTCTATGTCATGTCTGAGGGAGAAAGATTTCCTGATTGATATATGCCACTCTCTTCTTGTTCCATTCTAGATGACATCCACAATCCAAAATGTTTCTCTTTTAACTTTTTGCATTGTGAGACAAAGTATATCCAAGGAATACCAAGTAGTGTACAAAAAGTATACTTGGATTTACCATACACTTGGACATATGACTTATTCTTGAACACCTCTAGTTTCTTCTTCCAAACAAAAAACAGAAACAAACAAACAAAAAAAACCACATCAGGGAAAGCCTTCTTTTCTCTACCACACCATCATCGCCATGAAAATTAGCTGCAATCACTCCTGGGGATTGAGAGATGCCCAGAGATCAGTTGCCTCTTAAAATCTCTTTGTATAATAATGATAAAAAAGAGGGTTGCCAAAAACAAGGTTATAAAAATTTTGGTACATTGTATTTAAAAGACATCACATTTGACAAATTAGTATTAACACACACACATATCACAAGGTTGTGCTGTTCACAAGATAATACAGGGTTTACAAAAAACGATTTATAGTGCACTGTTCAGTAGCTAGTGTGCCCTATAACGAGACACAAGTTGTAGATGAATATATTTTCTTTTAATGCTGTGTTTCTTTGTGACTGTGTGTAAACTTCACGTGAAGAAAAATTTAAAAATCTAAATTTGAGATTTCTCCTGAATATGAAGTTTGGACCCAGCGACATATTGGTCTCGCCCATCCCTCACACCCACATTATGAATGTTGTGCATTTACTAGAAACTGATGGAAATCAATCTTAGGGATCTAGGGCCTTAGAATATCACTCATCCCAGCGTGATTAGGGAACAAAGGCCTAAGGAGAAACGGCGCCAGAGAACCTCTGAACCGAACAGCGACCTGGCTCCTCTGTCTGAGCGCAGCTGTAACTACACTGGAAGCTGGTATATTCTGCCTCAAGGCCTCGGCAAGTAACACAGAGCTACCGAGAGCGCTCCAGAGTCCTCGTCAGTAACACACGGAACAGCTGGTCAGGACCTCACCGGTTTCTCTCCGCCCGATGGCGCGCGCTGCAGGGCCCCAGGGCTGAGACGCGTCCCCTTGGCAACCGGAGAACGTGCTGGGAGGGCCCTAGGGCGGGGCTGCTGCGGCAGGCGGGGCGGGGGGCGTGGCCTAGGCGCCGCCCACCCCGGCCCCAACGGAGAGCGCAGAAGACAAACAGCGCGACTGTGTCACGCCGAGAGCGTCGGCCCCGCGCGCAGCGGGAGCTTCTGGGCGCCAATGGAGAGCCTAGAACGTTCAGGCTTGCCTGCGTTTTCGCATGGGCATGACACGACCGACAAAGCCGTTCCCCGCACAACCTTTCAGAAGCCGTTTGTAGTCAGGCTCCTCGACGTGCACAGTCTTGAGGAGCCTGAGGAGCCTGAGGAACCCGAGGAACCCGAGGAGCCGGAGGAACCGGGGGAGGCCAACGAGCAGAGCACGCAAGACCTGTGCATCGACCTTTATGAGTCCGAGGAGACATCTGAACCCCACAAACCTTATGAGCCCCACAAGCCTTATGGGCCCCACAGACACTATGAGCCCTACGAATCCTGTGAGCCCCAGGAGCCCCATGAAGCCTACGAGCCCCATGTACTGAGCAAGTCCAGTAAGCCCCGGGGTCCCCCTGCTCCTCGCGAGACCCACAAGCCCCACAAAGTCGAGGTGCTTCCCAGCGCCACCCTGGCGACCGCCCCTTCTCTGGTGACCAGATTCCCGCCTCGGATTCCGCAGTCTTGTCTAAGTGGTAGGTGCTGGGGCCCTTCCAAAGGCACTGAGCAACTCCGCCCTGTGTAGAACTGGGGGTCCTAATGTGGATGTTTGCATGCAAGAGCTCACCTTGTTTTAAAGGAAGGTCATTTTTGTGTCATTTACCTGCTGCTTTGCAGTCCTCTGATGGGTAATTGAGACTCTGGTAATGAGAAAAACTGAATCTCTTCACTTCACCTGATGACCTCCTAGCTGTCCTTGGTTACTCATTGTAACTTCTCTTTAAAGCCCTTAATTCTTCACTACAGTTAGTCATTGCGTTTTCTCTGGGTTGCCACTTCGAACATGACTCTATCATAGCACTTAAGATTTTGTATTACATCATTATCTTTCTCCCCAATTAAAGGATGGTATCCTTGAAGGAAGGATATTTTTGTCAGTATTTGGCACCTGGTGACACTCAATAAATGCTAGCTATTATGTTGTTAAACTTGTAGTAACAAAATACTCCAGAATTAAAAATGTACATTTACTAAATGTTTATAGTCCTCACCAAATTCACAAAGTGACAGAGCTGATAGTCTTGGGTATAAACATTCCTTGCTCTAAACCCACTGGTTCACTTATGACCTCTCCTTGATGACGCCCCCCCCCCCCACAAAAAAAAAAAAAACCAATTCTTTGTCCAAATTGGACTTCTGTCCCTCAGCCGACCACTTTTACTCTCATGTTCTCCTAGACTCCTCTTTATCAGCTTCTTTTCTATGGTCTATCAGGGGCTCATATATTCCCCTACTCCTTTTACTCTTTGGCTGTCTACCATACTTCTCTTGGCAAAACCCCAGCCCTGGTTAAACCTAACCATCCACCTCTGCCTGCACCTGAGTAGCTGACTCTTACTGTACAAAGTCATACAGTCATGTGATTGCTTTTATTTCAGTTTCATGACCACAAATCTTAGTCGGTCACTCAATACTTCTAGCAATCCCCCTTTATTCACCTAGTAAGTTAGTTTTCCTAGTCTCTGAGAAGGTGACTAACTGTCCTGTTTACTCTCCTCCAGATGTTATACTTTTGATCTCCAAACAGCTGAAGACTTTGCCTTACACTTTATTGAACAAATAGAAGCAATCAATCATGGGCTCTCTCATTTATTTATGTATTTATTTTTGCCACTAACCTATTGTCTTGCCCAAATTTACATTTATGGATTTTTCCCCCCATATTTCAGAGAAGAATTGTGCCTTTTTATATAAAAAGCAAAATCTTCCACTTGTGCTTTGGATTCCACTCTTGTCTCCTGAAGAACTTTGTTCTTGCCATAATCACACCTCTAAAGCTATTGATGCTATTAACCTTTCACTACCTTTTGTACATATATCACTACCTTTTGTCTTCTGTCTGCCTTTACTTACTTGATGGTCCATGGTCCACCAATGGACTCACTCCTTTGCAAATATCCTTACCTCCCTTGCTTCTCCTGTCATTCTTGCCCAGTTCAGTCCAATTCTTGCCTGCACTTGAAAACCAATGACAGGGGCGCCTGGGTGGCTTAGTCGGTTGAGCGTCTGACTTTCGCTTTGGTCATGATCTCGCAGTTTGTGGGTTCGAGCCCCGCGTCGGGCTCTGTGCTGACTGCCAGCTCAGAGCCTGGAGCCTGTTTCAGTCTGTGACTCCCTCTCTCTCTGACCCTCCCCTGCTCATGCTGTCTCTCTCTCTCTCTCTCCTAGAAATAAATAAAAATATTTTAAAAAAAAATAAGAAAACCAATGACAAGAGAAAAACAACTATGCTCACTGATTTTAAATTAATGACCTTGAAATTCAAATGGTCTCTTAGCACTGCTTGGCAAACATACTACATTTCCCCTGTCAATTCATTTTCCAACATGAAATCTACCCAAACTACCAGCATCTGTACATATGTACTCTATGTTTCCTCCTGTTAAATATGGATATACTGTCTTTATTCCTATTAAAGGGTAGGATCCCATCTTATCTAACTTTAAGCTCTTTGTCCTAAAAGAGGAGAAAAAGCCCCTCTTTTCTCCTGCGTAATTTTATTTTCTCTACTGGGTTATGCAGCACATGAACATGAGCAATAACTCCTATCTTTAAAACAAACAAACAAACAAACAAAAAACTCCCTTAACCCCAGGTACCCCTCCAGGTACTACTTCTATTTCTCTGCTCCTCTTTGGAGAAAAATTCTCAAAAACAGTAGTTGTCTATAAGACATTATCTCCATATCCTCTCCTCTCATTCTCTTGAGAACCACTTAAATGTTCATCTCCTCTACTTGGCTGAAGTTGCTCTTGCCAAAATCAATAGTTTAATTCTTCATCCTCATCTATTCATTTGACACATTCATTCCCTCTTTCTTGGATGTCTTTATTTGTCTTCATTGTCATCCTACCTCATCAATTGTTCCTGACTCAGTTTTCTTTGCTAGATCCTACTTCTTTTCCCAGCTTCTAGGTTCCCTGGGTTACGTCATCAGTTCCATGGCTTTAATTGTATGCTGGTAACTTCTCAGATTTCTCCCTTGAGCCCTCAATTTTATAACCAATTGTGTATTTAATATCCCTAGTTTGAATATCTAGTTTGCATGCAAAATTGAATGTGTCCATGACTGAACTAATACTTCCACATCCTAGCTTGTTCTTCCTTTATTGTTCCCCTTTTCAGCAAATGGTATCATCACTCATTTATCCAGGTGCTAGGATAAAAAACCTTGGAGTCATTCTTGACATCTGTTTTTCTCTCATACCCAGCCTCCAAACCATTAGCAAACCCCAATTTTGAGATATATAATAACTGACCATTTATTAACATCTAAAGCTTCATCATCTTTGTAACCCACTGTCATCTCTTGCTTGGTCTACTATAGTAGCTTTCAGCTTACTCTTGCTTCCACTCTGGTCCCATCCCGACCCCCCACCATTCCCCAATTTATTGTACATATAGTAATCACAGGTCTTTAGAACATAAATAATATGCAGCTTTCCTGCTTTCACCTCTCCAGAGGGGGTTCTCATCTCACTTAGTTTGTAATCTGAAGCCCTTAGCAGGCCTGCAAGGCCCCTCGTGATCTGGACCAGGACTGCCTCCGCAACCAAATGTCCCACTACTGTCCACACCGTCTCTATTCTCAAGCCACGTGGGCCTCATTGCTGCCATCTCATAGTCATTTCATTTGGCTTTTCCTCTTCCAGGAGCCCTTACCTCAAGTATTTGTTGCCTTATAAAGACATACCAGATCATTTTGTCAAAAAGAACCTCTTTGACCTGCTCATATTTTTAAAAGTACTTATCTTATTGACTGTACAGTATCATGTGTCTATTTGTTTACTATTTATATGAAGCTCACGGAAGGCAAAACCTTTACCTTTTCCACTGTTTCATCCTCAATGCCTCAAACAGTGCCTGGAACAAGTCAGGACTTGTTGAATGAAAGATTTTTTTCATTTAGCCTCTGTGTCACCAAATCCAGTGGTTCCTTTTCTATCTTAAGGGTTGTTAAGAAAATTAAATGAGTTTATACCTATAAAGCTTTTAAAGCATATTGTGGTATGTGATAAGTACTTAGTAGATATTAGCCATTCTTAGTAGTGATGTTAGTATTATTATTTTATTTGATCTCTTGGCAGCATTTAATATAATTAACCACTCCTTTCTTGAAACATGTCCCTCCTTCTCTTGGCCTCTATGACACCACAGTCCTCCAGTTTTATCACCTACCTGACTGCTTGCTTGTGGGGCAAACTTGCTGAGCCCTCCCTGTTTTCCTGAACTCTAAAGAACTCCATCCTAACCCCTTTTCTTTCTTTTTTTTTTAATTCACTTTACACCACTTTACAATTCATATGTACACTGATGGATTTAAATAACATCTCTATATGGATGCCTCCTAAATTTATATATTCCAGCTCTACTCTCTTTCCTGAGTCCCACATTCATTTCCGGAGTTCCACTGTCTACTGGACATCTCCATTTGGGTATATCGTAGGCATGACAAATATAATACACTTTGAGACAGAAGTCTTGATTTTTCTCTCATTCCTATTACACCCTCATTCCTGCAACTGAGTGCTTCCAGAAAATAGCAAAGAGATTGCAGGGAAACAAGAGTAGAAGCAGGGAGACTACTTGGAAACCCTTTGTAGAAATCCAGGTGAGAAATGGTCATAATTGGGATGAGGGTGCAGCACTGGAAATAAATGAATTCAGGAAAAAAAAAAAAACTAAAAGAACTTGCATTGGATGCATTGGATTTGAAGGTGAAGGAAGAGGAGCCGGAGACGTAGTAATTTTTTTGACTTGATCAAACTGGATGCTATTTTATAAAATAAGGATGCCACCCTTGCTATATAATCCTGCCTGTGGCTTCTTGTTGCTCTTAGGATAAACCAAACCTATGCAGGGGTCTGTAGCGTTCCATGGGTCCCCTAAACTCATCTCCTCCCTCTCTCCCTCCTGCTTACTCTGCCCAGTCATACAGGCTTCTTTTCTGTTCTCTAAAAGGCCAATCCCATACTTGCTCCGGCTTCAGAATCTGTATTTGTGGTTTCGTCTCCCTAGATACTTAACTGTTTTCCAGGATTTTGCCTCATGATTAATTCCTATCAATGGTCCCCGTCCACATTTTTATTTTATTTTGGTTTGGTTTTTTTTCTATTTCTTTAAAATTTTTTTTCTTCTTCTGAGTTCATGTTGTTATGGAGCACCTAGATGGCTCAGTCAGTGGAGTGTGCAACTCTTGATCTCCAGGTTGTGAGTTCGAGCCCCACATTGGGTGTAGAGATTACCTAAGAGTTTTCTTAAAAAATCTTTTTAAAAAATTCCAGTTAGTTAAGAGTGTAATATTAGCCTCAGGTGTGGAATTTAGTGATTCAACACTTACCTCACCTGGTGCTCATCACAAGTGCACTCCTTAACCCTCATCACCTATTTAACCCATCCTCCACCTACCTCCCATCTAGTCACCATCAGTTTGTTCTCTATAGTTACGAGTCTGTTTCTTGGTTTTTCCCCATGT